TAAAGTTGTGTGTATTACAATCAAAAAAAAAATGCAAATCTGATTTTTAGATTCTAGTAGTGCACTTTTTTTTAACAATCATCACACAATTTTTAAATTAATTTATTTTTATATATTAGTTTTCTTTTCTAAATTAGCATTAACTGTTGATCATATAATACACAAATATAATAAAATGTTATATTTACTTTTTATAGAGTCTTATATTTAACATAAATATTGTCTTTATGTTTTGTAAAAGAGCTAAATGAAAAGAAGGTTACTAAGGTAAACTTGTGCATAAAGTAAAGACGTTATTCTCCTTGTAATATGTTATTATATTTTATTATTTTTATTTAAAAAATAAGAATCTTTTTATTTTTTATTTTGTGTATGATATTTATTGATATAAGTGTTTGTCCTCCAATTGAAATGATGTTTTGAAAAATAGTTATTTAAAAGAGATGAGATTATTTATGGTGGTTTGTAGCCTTTTTCGGAACATCAGTTATAGTAAACTAGAAGTAAATTAAACATTTAAAAATACGAATTTGTAAAATATCAGCCAATGTAACTAAAAAATGACAAGTTTAATCAATTTTTTTAAAAAGCGATAATTTAAGCTTTATCGTGGTTTTTACTTTTTCGTTTAAATCTAACTTATAAAATCAAGCTGATAAAAAAATCATTACAATTAATTTTTCTTTTTAATTTAACTTATAAAATCAAGCTCATAAAAAAATCATTACAATTAATTTTTTTTTTCAGCTAAATTTTTAAATTATTGAATTATAATTTGCATATAAAAGCTTTTATAACTAATGGTATATAAGTAAATATACCAAAACATTTAACTAAATTTTCTTTTTCAGAAAGTTAAAACTAATTTTTAACGCCTAATTTTTTCGTATAAACAAATTAAAAGTGACTTACATCACTGAACTACACAACTATATAAGTTTTTGTTTCAAAAGTATTTAAAAATATGATTTTCATGAGCTGATATGTTTTCTGACCTCATAAATAACAAAGTCTGGTAGAAAATTAAGCTTATCAAACTGCAAAACATTTTATTTATTTCAAATTCGTTATTTTAATCATTTGTATAGATGAAGCTTTACAACGTTTGGTCTTTAAAAATCCATGAAATCTTAATTGTTAATTTTTTTTTTTTAAACAGAATAAAAATTTTAACACAAAAATTATATTTGCTTAGAAAGCAAATTCACCACTTAAAAAAAAATCACAGCAAAGTATCAAGAAAACTTTGAACTGAAATTTTTACGCACCTAATGGTATAATGGTTTATTGTCAATTTTAAAAAATAAATAAATTTATTTTCGTTGATGAGTTAAACAATTTTGTAATTAGATAAATACATAAAATTTATTTATTTAATTTTAAAGACTTTATTTAAAGGCTAAAAATTATAAAACAAACAAAGGCTGTGTTATATTGAAACAAAATCTTTTTTTTTTTTTTTTTACCGTTTTATTTTAAGGGATAACTTCTATTAATTATGCTTCAATCGGTAAATTTCGTTTGCACATACTTTGATCACATGATTACGTTATATTTAAACAATATGACCATTTTTCAAAATATTTTATTTTCCCGACGAGGGAAAACTTTCATTAAATGATATAATCAACTATTTGTAAAAAGATATCTTATTAAATAAGAAGAGTAAAAAAAAGTTACAAAAAAACAATAATTGTTACAGAGATTTTGTAAAAATCTAGTTCCACTTGTTTTTGTTCAATGGAGAAAAGCAAGTGTTAAGTTTCAACAACTAGAAATTATTGGTGAGAAATCAATATATTATCAAACAAAAAGTCTTTTAAAGAAAGTAAAAAAATTTAACATAGGGAAGAAAAAAAGTTAGAAAGTAAAAAAGGAAATTATAATAAAATTAGACTTCACCACATGTCCTCATACAATAATTTTATATGAGAGTAATCTGTCTAGATTAAATTCCACGAAAATTTGTACAAATAAAGCACATATTACTTACTCCTGTATTTTTTTTTTTTTTAATTTTTTTAAAGTTTAGATAGTTATACGGTCAAAGAAGACAGGTGAAAAGTCTGAAATGCAGATGGGACATGCTGATGAAATTAAGACAATAAAATAAATAAAAAATTAAAAGAGTAAAGTCAATGACAAAGAAACTTACTAAAAACCACTGGGTTTTTTTTCCGAATTCGGTCGGCTAGTTGACTATTTGACACAATTCAAAGTTTAAGTTAAGTTTACGTTTTGAGGACTTTTTTTTACTTTTTACTTTTTGCTAAGCTAGTCTTTACTTTTTAAAAATTCACCCCCTCATGTAATAGTAATAATAATAATATTAAGAATAATAATAATAATATATATATATATATATATATATATATATATATATATATATATATATATATATATATATATATATATATATATATATATATATATATATATATATATATATATATATATATATAAATATATATATATATATATAATATATATATATATATATATATATATATATATATATATATATATATATATGTATATATATATATATATATATATATATATATTTATATATATATATATATATATATATATATATATATATATATATATATATATATATATATATATATATATATATATATATACATATATATGTATATACATATATATATATATATATATATATATATATAATATATATATATATATATATATATATATATATATATATATATATATATATATATATATATGTATATACATATATATATATATATATATATATATATATATATATATATATATATATATATATATATATATATATATATATATATATATATATGTATATACATATATATATATATTAATATATATTAATAGTTATATATATATAATTAACTAAACAGTTGTAAATTTTGTAAAAAAAAATACTTTAACCTCACAGAAAACAATGATTTAGAATTATACTAAGAGTATTAGGAAAGTATTTCTCCTTGCTCTTCTCTCAACAAAGTATATGTTCCAGTTAATGTTTACTTTAAAAAAAGAAAATGAAACTAAATTGATGGTTAAAAGACTCCTAAAGGAAAAGTTAGGGATCTGTGCTTACCTTGTAACAATAATTTTAGATAAGACGTCAAAAAAAAAACATTATGTCAATAAAAAGTTCAGTCATGCCTAGAATTAGGTGATTATATAAGTAATTTTTTTATCGAGCAGCAAATGCTTAGATGATGAGGTAGTAAAAATAAACATAAACTAGTTTTACTTTGTAGGTTTGGAATTTCACCTGCTGCAACATAACCAATTGCGGCAAGTTATCTGCAAGTTTTAGTTGAAGCATGATTTTTTACCCCTGAATCATCTTACCTTGCTTGTGAACCTTTTAAGTCGACAAAAAAGAGGAAAAAAGTCATGATGGATGAAAAGAAAAATGATAATTTGAAAATTCCAAATGCATAAAATATTGGCGTTTACTTTGACAGTAGGGAAGATTCAACAAGCGGAATGATAAATGATTCAAACGCACTGTTGCATCCTATTTTTGCTAAAAAGCAACACGTAACAGTTACTTGAGAATCTGACGGTCGATATTCAGGATGCACCTGTAGATGCATCCTGTATATTGATGATTATTTTCATTCAGATAAACCAGCTAAAAAGATTGATAAACGTGTTTATTTTTTGATAAACAACATAACCTTACTGAATCATGTTCAGTAAGGTTATGTTGTTTTTCACTTCAATTTACATCGACTGGAAAGGTGGTGCTATAGCGCATCTTAAAAAGCTGTTAAGTCACATGTGCCTTTGAGCCATATGCATGCTTTATTCAAATGAGTAATTTTTGCGTCACCAAACAGAAGAAATTGATGAGCCAACATTTTGTAGAACTTTATTTGTAGGTTCTTTGGGAAAAAAATTTTCAGTTGTTTTAAAAATGTATTATAACTATCAAATCAAGCCTCTTCCAGATGCTGAGAGCATCCAGAAACGATACTAAAAATTTGTTAGCAGATCAATATCAATCCTACAAGCAGTTAGAAGTTCTATTTTAATTGTAAAGCAGTTAGGATTGGTGCGTTGCCACCTAATCTAAGAGAAATTCAACGTGGATCCTTAAGTCATGATAGATGAGTAACTATGGGCATGAAAATAGTCTTCATGTGTACAAGAAAACATAATTTGACTTAGGAGAAAATGAAGATTTTATAGTTACTTGTTTTAATATGTTTACAATTTTACTTTTTTTTTGACATAAATGTAAAGGGCAAACTTGAAGACATCTCCTCTCAAGTGAGACTTCTTAGAAATTAACCTGATAGAGTGTAAGAGTTTGTGACTACCAATATCCAGTTAGGAGCTTAGTATACAAACAATGAAAGTATTTTAAACTTTTTTGTTATCTATTAAAAATGCAGAAGACCTCATTTTTGTAGTTGATCATATTGCGAAACAAAAGGGTAACGAAATCCTTGGAGATATGCAAATTTAACCAAGAAAACTGAACTTTGCAGCAACTGCTCTTTAAGAGCTAGTTAAATGGGAATGCGATAAAAGTACAATGACCTGTTTTTACTTGTTCTTATACTAAAGATAAGTTGTTATTGCTAAGATTGACTTCTTTAACAAAAAAATAATAATAATTTAGGAAACTGGATTTAAAATTTAGTTTTACATTAAAATACATATTTTCCTACGCTTTTCGAGTGAAAAAAATTATCGCTGTACCCTATTAGCCACAGGTTGTACTACATGTTACCAATAGCAAAATGATCATGATGACTATACGTCTGACCTGGTCCAGTTTACTTTTGATGGTTAATAAAGTTGGTTGTTCTGAAATTTTTTAACATTTTTATTAACTAAATTAATTTATTAGTTCAAAAATATATTTTCATTAATTTTTAAATATATTTTTAATTTTCATTAACTTGTTTACCTCATAAATTTGTATATTAGAATGACTTAATATATATCTATTATGTTTTGTTTAGAGTATGAAGAGCTGTTTGTTTCGAATAAAGTTGATATAAAAAATTTTCCCTTAATATTGGCACCTATTACAAATACATATAAAATTGAGTTTGACTTTTGCTTTGAAAATTCCAAAAAAATAGCCAGTAAAGATATCTTTTTTGATTTTTCTTTTGGAACTTCTTGTTCCGCCCATTGTAATTGTTTTATATTGAAAGCAATATTTGTGTCAGGAGACTCAAATGGAGTATATTTAAATTTTGGTCTTTGCGACGATATGTTGGCATATTCATTTTATAGCCGGTATCTTTTATACGGATGTAGAAAGTTTGAAATAAAGCAGCTTTTAATTGGTTATAATTACTGGAATACTGTTAACGTTGATGGTACACAAATTATTAGTAAGAAAAGAGAGGTTCCACGTATTAATTTAAATTTCCGAAATCCTGACTATACGAAGAAACCAATAGGAGTTATCAAAAATCTTATTTACTCTAAAATAATTTGCGGTAAAAATTTGTTTTAGCTAAAAAGTTTTATTGTTTTTATGTCAATATGTTATATGGTAGATAAAGTAAAAATAGTTTGTTTTATTTATTATTGTTTTAACTATTATGTGTTTATTTAATTAATTTTATAAAAGTTTTTTTATTATCTGATAATTACTGCAGTATAATTAACTAACAGGTTATATATTACTTAAACTTAGGAGACATTTAAGGCGTTTATTCAAATAAAACAAAAATTTAATATGAAGTTTGATATAAATAGTTTAAAAAAATACATTTTCAAAAATTCAATCTACAGAATTTCTTGTTGTTTTTAATAAATAATTCAATAACATTTATCGCTTATAATTAATACTTAACTTAACGCTGCTGCTCACCATTCGTGCACCTTTACACGGATTTTTTTACCATACTTGGCCTTTGAGTTTTATCATAAATTGCTTTACTTCTGAACTCGCCTAATGGGGCTCTTTCAAATCTTAATAATCTGTCAGTATCTGCTTAATCAGTAATGAGATCAAAAACTTTGTTTTATCAGCTTAATTAGTGATAAGATCAACAATTTTTATTTGATAACTTCTGTAGTAAAGGATGAACATTATGTTATTATTGAATTAGTAAAGTAACTTTTAAAGTCAGGTGATTTATTTAAATCATGCATTTTAGTCTTTAGTCAATTGTATTTAAATTTATTAATTTATAAAATTAATCTCTAATTTTTAAATTAAAAGACGACTCAAGAAGACGTTGCTCATTTCAAAGGTCAAGAGGTCAAACTCTTGATAAAGTTAGTGTTTAAAACACTTGCATCTCACACGGTCAACTCAATGTTACATGTTAAAGAACAAGATCGTTTAATACCTTATTTAAAAGAAGTTATAAAAATCCGTATAAAAAACCAGATTGTTTGATAGTTTGTTTTTGAAAGTTGTTGAACATTTATTACGAGGTATTTCAAAAAACAAAAATAAGGTTGTATTTGTAAAGTTTCAAATTTATATATTTTTCTTAATTTATATATTTATCTATATATGTGTGTTATTTATATTGTGTTTTATTGTGTATATGTGTGTTAATGTTATATGGGTTTATATTTTGTAAGTGTGTAAATATATGAAATGTTTCAATGTTTGTGGTGTGTTATATGTAATATGTTTATAGTTTGTAAGTGATAATTATGTTGTTTGCATGGTTTCAAATTGTTGTGACTGGGCTTAGTTTACAGCAAGATTGTTGACCTCGCTAGCCAAGTGGTGTACTTTGCTATAATGTGACCTGGCTTTGTTGCGAGCAAAAATATTGTCCTCGCCAGCAGAGTGGTGTATTGTCATAATAAAACACATAAATTAATTCTGTTTGTAATTAGTGTATTTCTAAAATGTGTTGAAAAAATATTGTTTAAAAAATGTGTTTTAATGTTGTTATCCTCTGTTCTTAACAATGTATGCTTTTGACAATAAATAAATTTTGTTGAAAAGCAGGCTTTACTAACAGCTCCTCCTCATTAAAATTTTTAAGAGTTTCGATTTTCTTCATTAAATATGTTTAACTCAAATTTTTTTTATATATATAAAAGTAAGTATACAGCGTGTTGAAGCATAAGTTTTAATAACTTTTGTTAAATTTTTAGGATTTTTTGTATAGAGAATGTTTTCTTTATATTATTATTTTAATGTTTTGTATGTACATCAATATATATATATATATATATATATATATATATATATATATATATATATATATATATATATATATATATATATATATATATATAGACACACACACACACAATAAAATATATAGAATTAAAATGTCTATACATATATTATATGTATAGACATTTTAATTTTTTTGCCTTAAATTATTGTCCCTTTTTCTTTAGAATATTAAATATCTAAAAAAAAAAAAAAATAGTAAAAGAAATTTCAATATTTCCAAGTTTCTTCACTTGAAGCAAATATATGATTGTTTATAGAGGTTCTTTTAGTAGTTTTGTATTTATTTATTGCAAATCTTGCGTTAAATGCCTTTTAAAGTAATGAAAGGGTTTTGTTGATGGATGATTACATTTTATCCTTCCATGCTAGCAGTACCTGCTGAGTTGACAGGCCTTAAATTTTTTTAATTTGCTTTATTTATGAGTTCTTATATGTAAAAAATTTGTTTTTTAAATTACATTTGTTTTTTTTGATTAAATACTTATGATATTTTGTCAATAATTGATAACAACTACCATAAATATATAAACAATACTTAGTTGAAAATATTACATTAATTTATAACTTTAGTTTAAGTTTTTAATAAAACTATGTTATCTTAACACAATGCTATATATGGTAGAATATAATAGATTATAGTATTATGCTCTGTATTATTTGCTTACACTTTATTTTAGATAAGTTTAAAAAAGAAACTTCAACTTTTATTATATTAGGCATCATTTTTACACACTCCTTTGATGCCTTTTTATGTCTAATAATTTAAGAAATGAAATTATTAGACTTCGTCAAAATGAAAGAAGGCAGGCTAGGCGAGCTGAGATAAACCGCCGTCAAAATGAAAGAGATGAGCCCAGGCGAGCTGAAATTAATGGTCGTCGAATGGAAAGAGATGAGCCCCGGCGAGCTGAGATAAATCGTCGTCGAATTGAAAGAGATGAACCCCGGCGAGCTGAAATAAATTGTAATCAAAATGAAAGAAATCAGGCTAGGCGAGAACTTAATAGGTATAATATGCATCGCATAGCAAGAAATAATATTGCTATAGAGAGTAACTACCTCGGAGAATTAAACCATAATTGTCAGTATTGCAGTGCAAAGAAGTTTTTAAATGAAACTCATTTTTTGTGCTGCCATTCAGGAAAATTTGCATTAGCTCCTCTTTCTCTTTATCCGCCATTGTTGACTGGTTTAATGACAGGAAACCATGTTGATCATGCTGTAAATCAAAATTTTTTTAAACACATAAGGAGTTATAATTCCTCTTTATCTTTTGCTTCCTTCACTGCCGAAATAGCTCCTCCCTCAAATAATGGCCCTTTCTGTTTTAGGGTCTGTGGGCAAATTTTGCATCGTGTTGGAAATTTAAGGCCTGCAGAAGGTTGTCTGCCCAAATATTGTCAGCTGTATATCTATGATCCTAATGCAGCAGTGTCATTCAGAATGGAACAACCTGGTAATGATGGTTGTATACATGAGTTAATGCAACTCTTGCATTAACTCATTGTAGGACTTAATTTATGGATTTAATTTATGGATATGACTTAATTTATGGATTAATTGGTTTTGTTGCATTTTTAACTTTCTTTTATTTATCTCTAGCTGCTGCTTCTTCTGTTACAAGTAAGTTGTTCTATTCACTTATACTTGACTTAATTTATGGATTAATTGGTTTTATTGCATTTTTAACTTTCTTTTATTTATCTCTAGCTGCTTCTTCTGTTATAAGTAAGTCACTTTTACTTAACTTATTACATTGATTGATTGTTTTTATTGCATTTTTAATTTTCTTTTATTTATCTCTAGCTGCTGCTTCTTCTGTTACAAGTAAGTTGTTCTATTCACTTATACTTGACTTAAATTGGATTAATTGGTTTTATTGCATTTTTAATTTTCTTTTATTTATCTCTAGCTGCTGCTTCTTCTGTTACAAGTAAGTTGTTATATTCACCTTTACTTGACTTATTACATTGATTGATTGCTTTTATTGTACCTTTTGTTTTTTAATATAGCTACAAATGTGCTTTCCAGTTTAATTAGTTAATGTAATAAGTCAAGTATTAGTGAGTAAAATAAATAAGTTGTTGTGCTCACTTGTACTTAATTTATTACATTATTTGCTTTTATTGTTTTTTTACAGTAGATTTTTTGTAAGTATTACCTTGGTACATAGTTGTATTTATATATAATTTTTTTTTCAGGCTCGAAGTCATGGGAAGAATTCAGAAAGTATCGCTCCCAGCATCCAGGCCCTCTATCTATGAGGGCCTTCCATCGCTGGTGTTTGTATGGGGACGACCATCCCTCCTTTAGATGGAGGGATGGCACCCCATACAACACGGGGAATAGAGCGGATGCTGGGAGGAGAAGACAACGTGGCGCAAAAGTTGTCAATAATTTTTTTACATATTAAAATGTAAAGAAATTGACAACTTTTGAGCCACTTCATTTTTTTTTTGTAATATATTTTTGTAAATTTATTTTTGTGTTGTTTTTTATTTTTCCCATGAATGTTAAATGTTATCAAAGTAAATCATTTAAATAAAGACACCTTTATCAACAATGCTCATTAACTAGAAATAAAAGTCACGGTCATACATTTGATAAAGTTAATGTTAATCTCAAAGGGATTTGGTTTTCACACAATCAAATTCTATCTAGCACCTTCCAGAACTAAGAATATAAGTGTGTGGTGTCAGTAGTTTAAAATATGTATAATAAACTCAGAATAACTCAATAACCCTCAACAAAACTATGAACTAATTTTTAAATTCAAGTTGAGCTTTTTTATTTATTAATACCTCCCCTCCCAATAACTCTAATTTTCCTTAAAAAACTAATTTTTTTGTCCTTTGGAGGTGGTTCTGCTATTTAATTAATTGTTGTGATGTTTTATGCAAATAGATTTAGCTCACATTCATGTTGGTCTGTCAGGGTTATGTAAAAATAAAAAAGTAAGTTTCTTATTCGCATTTTTGAGTTTTCAAAAGTATTGATTGCATGACATGTTAATTTGTAATTAATGTGTATGATTATGATTATGCGTTTAAATAACTTTGTTCCATTTTTAGTTCCGTTTCTTATAGCTGACTTGATTATGGCTTACCTAAAGCTTAATATTTATGAAACAATGATTCAATTTAAATTGTATTATAAGTAGCTCTGTTGAATAAATTTTTTTTTTGTAATTTGTACTAAAGGTTGTATTTTTATTTTATATCAAGAAAAATATGTTTTTAAGTAAATATCTATATTTTTTTATTTTGGGATTTATTGGTTTAAATGGATATAAAAATCATTTTTGCTTTGTCTTTCATATTTCCTTTTATTATATATGAATAGGAACCATTTATGCTTTAATCACCATTAGCACTCGAAGTTTCCATTTGCATTAAGTATCGATTTTTGGCACACACACAGGTTTAATAACTTAGGCAGTAAAAACAGCTTGAATGATTTGTTAAGAGTCTTTAAAGAAACGCTTTTACGAAAAGCATTAAATAGATAAAGCTAACTTATTTAAAATAATAAGTCTTTAACCCGTTTTTCTATATCCAAATTTACTTTTTAAATAAATGTTGATGAAAGGGTAAAATATCGTTATAGCCTACGTTAATTTTAAATTCTTTTTAAATTAAAGGAAAGAGTTTTGATACTTATTTAAATAGGGTTAATAAAATATTTTAAATTATATTATATATATTATATTTAAGAAATTATTAAACTAAATTAAATAAGATTTTTAGATGAAACAGTAAAAATAATTGTTTAAAATACGTGCGTGCAAATAACTCCTACAAATACTAAACGTAAAATAACGCTTACAAACACCAAAAGTATGTTTGCAGTGAATAAAGTTAAGTTCAAAGATAAATAGGAAGAAATGTTTAAAACTGTTTCAATGATAACATTTATTTTTAATTACTTTTGTTGTAAGTTGGGATGAAAAAAAAAAGTCACTGGAGTATGAACTCCCGGGGTAAGATGACTATAAATGTCTAAGTGTTGCGCGTCTACCAATTAGGCCATAAACGTATTTTCTATTTAAATTTAAGATTATTTATGACGCATAAGAAGTGTAATTAAAAATTCAAAACCAAGTTTGCAACAACTGAGTTTAAATAAAATCTAATTAGATGTGTATATGTTATGAACGTTAACTAAGGCGTACTTTAACGGCGTCACGTGTTGAATGTTTTAGCATTTTTCTAAGTTCGTAGTCTTTTTTACGTTTTTTCTTATTAAAATTTTTATAATCGGCATAATATTAAAATCGTTTGAAGTTTTTAAAAGAACATTTTAACAGAAATGTTTTTGTCATATCAAAAAGTAAGTATAGTTTTTTATATGTACATTTTTAAACGGTTTTAAAAAAATATTGAGGTAAGGAATAAGTATAGAAAAGGTCGGTGTAGAATAGATTTACTAAGACCCTTAGTTTACGTCCGGATAGCTATAGATAAGTATAAAAATGGTCGGTTCGGTAAAGACCCGTATTTTACGGGTCACCCCAGCTAGTATTTAATTATTACTCAAAAAAAATTTAAATAAAAATAATACAAAAATAGTTTCATAACTGACATGCAATAAACCAAGTCATGGATACTTGGGTAACTTTGCACACATCAAGATTTTAAAAACATTTTTTAATCTTATGATTTTTAATCATTTTAAAAACACTTTTAAATGTGTGTATATATATATATATATATATATATATAATATATATATATATATATATATATATATATATATATATATATATATATATATATATATATATATATATATATATATATATACATATATATAAAATGATTATTATTAAAAATATATACATAGTCTTATAAAGATAAATTTATCTTTGTAAAACGTCTTAACTTAAGTTAAAACGTTTTACAAATTCCTTCCATTTATTAAATACAGGGGGAAAACTTATTGCCTTTTAAGTCTTCTATATCTAGAATAGGCAATAAGATTTGCTGCGTGGTAAGTTTAAATCATTAGCTTCTCAGCGTTGTTAAGGAGAGATTCGAACAATTTACATTTCTTAGAAACAAAAACTTACATTTTTAAACTTCAATTTTCTGTGCTTTTCGCCTAATTTTGAATATTACTGTTTCATATTTTTTAAAAATAGAATTAAAATTTTTTTTATGTAATTTATTAATTTTTCACTTTTTTATAATTCTTTTTTTAAACAAACCATTAAGCAATACAAAACTAACACTAAATTACTTATTACGCGACGGTGCAGCGTCATAAAAACAGCTGAAAGGAATGTTTTAAGTATTTACATTACAAAAATATCTCTTTTATTTGAAAGTAAAAAGACTTCTGTTTACAGCATTAAAATATTCAATAAATGACTAAAAACTTCTTTTTTTATGTTTTCGTAAACATTAAAAACGATAAAACCAAAGTTTGTACATTAGTTTTTGTTCTTAGCAATTTACTTCCATAATCTTTTTATAGTCGGTTAAATAAATTACTAAACAGAAACGTTTACTTTTTATATAACTTCTGCCCCATAGTATTAAGTTAAAACTTTGTACTCGCAGATAATAAAATTACCAATTATTTGTAAATAAAGCAAAACAACGAGCTTCTTTTTTGTCTTTTTTACAAACTCAACTTAGTTGTAAATAAACTTTAAATATAAAACTAAAATTGATCTCAATTTAAGATATATATCTCAATAATGACACATACGCAACAAATTTACCCCAGTTTTTTATTGAATTTAGAATTTCTTTTTTTTTTTAATTCTTTTTGCATGTTAAAGTGTATAATATCGTTAGATATATTTGTATATAACCTTTCCAAAACGTAACAAGTATTTTGTATTTTAAAAAAATATAATCAAAATAAAAAAAAAAAAGGTTGCTGATTGTTGGATTTGAACTACGGCTTTCTTGTTCAGAAGCTCAGTGTGCTAACCACTCAACCATCCTGTCACGTTTGTCATCAAAGTTTCAAAGCTATATAAAAAATGTTTTTAACGGAAATAAATCAAAAAACAAATCAAAAATTTAGGAGTGGTTGACGCAATGCAATTTTCAAGTAAAAACTGTAAAACTTGATATATGTTATTATATTTTCTCTTTATCACCCGGTAGTAAATTACAGGTAAAATAATATTTAAATAGTCAAACAATAAATTAAAAATCAGCTAAATTAACACGGCTCTTGTAGTTGTTAGCAATAAATGGTTAAGGTGGTATTCACTGTAAAACTTGATATCTGATTAAGGTGGTATCCAGGCATTATTTTGGTAATAAATGAAATAAAAATAAAAAAAAATTGAAAAAATTTTATTTAGATAATTGAACCTTGTAGAATTCAATAGTAAAATTATATTTTCCAAAATAATCTTAGAACTTTCTTTTTAAACATGATTTATGTGAGTAGTCTACATGATTTATGATTTTAAAACTAATTTTTCTCAATTTTTGTTTTTTTTTTATGAGTAGCTGTAGGAAAACAATGACATCTCCACAAAAACATTGTTTTAGCTTTGAATTTTCAGGATATGCTCATTATTAATTTTTTTTAGTGCCTGAACCTAAAATAAAATTAAAAAAAAAGTTAAACTTTATCTATAATTACGTATCAAATAAGTGTTTTATCGCTAAAAATAGCTTTTTATACTATTATGTCAGCCATTTTTGATCGTTAAAAATTTTTTTAAAGGTTTAGGCACAAACTACACTAATAGGGTAGCATTTTGCAAAATTTCAAACTTTAATATTGATGTAATCTTAAGATATTTATGTTCTTCGGACGTTAACTTTTTTTTGCTGAGCAGCATTTTTTTTTTTTCAAATTAAAAAAATTTTTGCAACACGTTTTAGATTTTTATCTGTTATGCTAGTAATTTATAAAAGTTATTTATTATGTGTAAAAAATAAGAAAATAAATATAATGGGTGAGTACCACCATTGGTCATTTTTAACATTACATAATATGAAGTTTACGTACGTACGATATAAGTTACGCGTTCACTCACATTTTTTTATAAAGCATAGCTACGACTCTCTTTCGCCAATATACATCGGTTGCATTGGCTGCCAAAGGTTTCGTGTCAAAAACGCTCGAAGAGACACTACTAAGTTTGCCAATAATATATACAGATGTTATTTTTAAACCGTTTTTCATTATATAAGCTGATCCATCATTACGTAACGTATTTAATATTTATCATAACTAGTGGCTATCAAAATATTTTTCAGAACAGAACATTTTTACTGACTTTAGTCGTAAAATTATATTATAATTTTTGTCAGCATTAATTTTTCCCCACTCGTTTTTAATTGAAGTCCTTGGAATGAAAACCTTAAATGTCACAAATGATTTTTTTTTCAGCAGAGCATTTAATCTATC